ACATATTTAAAAGGAAAGCTACCACTCTTTTATCAGTAGGAAAGGTATACTGTTTCAAAGTGAATTACAAATCAGAAACTTGGAATTCAAATAGAGAATATCGTAGAGTACTCCGAAGAAGTAGTATCCATGAGCAGCTTGTGCAAACTCCTGAAAAGGACCTCATACGGATATTTTTTTGAGCTGGCTTCAGCGATATGTGGAATTAATGGAGGCTCATCAATCTCCTGAAGTGGAAAGTATAAACCGTCAATATTTCATCTAATCATCATGAACAATACTACAACACTTTCTTATCTCCTACCAATGGGGTGGACCAGACCAAATCAAGAGTTAATAGAAAACTGAATATGTACATAGTTGATTCTTGGAATAGATAATTCTACCAGTTTTACTTGCAGTTATCTTTTTAGTGCTAGCTGAACATAAGTAGCGGCCTTTGTGCAACACCCAAAAAGCCTTGGTATAATGGGATTATTTGGATTGTTCACAACCTCTAGCAGATGGCTCCATGGCTAGTACTAAAAGAACCTATTTCACCAAATAGTGCTAATTTTTTTCCTTTTTTAGAATGGCTCCATGGCTAATCTATTGAAATCTGGTAGCTCAGGCTTTGTACCTTTTGATTATAGTGTGGTACTGAAGGATACTTTATTTGTTTCCACATATCACCAGGTGTTTATGGAAGATAGAGCAAGTTCTTCTAGTAATATGTTGCATATATTCAATCGCCTTGAAACTTGGACCAATAGATTCAAAATGGATCAGAGATGCAGGTTTTGGATGATCTTAATCTAAACAGGTTTAACCCGGGCAAAACTTTGTATAGAATTTTTTTGATAAGGTAAATTGTATTAATCAAAAGGGAGAAAAAACTCCCGTATACAAGAAGTATACCAAAAAGTAGAGAATTTACACCAAAACATGATTCTCTACAAAAGACGAACTTTGTATAGAATTGTACCAAGTAATGAACCTAGATGCAACTCATATGGTTCTTGGAGCTTAATTTTCCCTGGTCTTCATAGAACATTTCAAAGAGAACTTCCTCCCTAACAAGAAAAGCTAATACTTAAAGTATGATTATTTTTTTTTATAAGCAAAATAAATAAATAAAAGATGACATTCTACAGAATTAAAAAGCCCGAGAACCAAAGCAGCATAGAATATATGATTTTCAGCAGTCATTAGATAGGTTCCTTCACTTACACGAGCTTCACATCATTTCCATTACGTATCCGCTATATAAAAGGAGCTAAGACCATACGCGTCTGAAGCTATCATTGATGAATTAGTCAGTAGACAAATATATTCACTCCACTATCAGGCAGTCCATCCTCTAAACGCACTAAATCAAAGTTATATTCAAACTAAAAAGTAATTCTATCAGAGTGAAAGTTGCAGATACCTTTAAACCTGAACAAGCTAAAGCACACTAACATTCAATAATGCACAAGATTCACAATCCCAGCACTCCGCAGAATTCTAAAGTGGCAAAATCTTTTTGGTCATAAGATCAAGGCTCTAAGAAAGAAGATGAAGACCTTGAGAATGTTTATCCTTTCTCCAAGAGCAAAAACTGCAGACCTGTTCTTCAATGGTTCTCTTCCCCTCAAGAAAAGACCTGTGCTTCTGGTCTCGACACCTATCAGATCATTAGATGTTGCTATATCTAACTGAAGCTTTTCTAAAGCTTGAATATAAGCGCGGAACTGTGCACTCAGAACCTGTGATACAAATTTTCGCTTTAGTATTCATGAAAGAACACAATCTCTTGTTAACCAAAAAGCATATTATGTCGCTTATCACTTGTAGATGTGATAACTGATAACTATGATTGATAACATTCTCTAGAGCTTAGAGGATGAAAGGGAAGCTCCAATTTTAAATATAACAATATATTAGGCAACTCTCAAGAGACATCAGGTGTTGTACCCACTTCCTTACACCATGGAGAAACAATTACAACTCATAAACAAACATTTAGAGCCCGTTTGGACATAAGAAAATTTTCCTTTTTTTCCAAAAAAAATCACGTTTATCCGAAATCAGCGTTTGTTCGTAAAATTTCCAATTTTCACTTCAAGATGCATTTTGGAAATTTTCGAAAATTTGAAAAACTCCAAAAAACTGTTTTTCAAAATTTTCACTCACAAAACTTCAAAAACAACCCAAAATTATATTCATGTCCAAACACAACTCTAAATTTCAAATACCATTTTCACTTGAAAAAATTTTCCCCCTATTTTGGAATTTTACAATTCTTATGTCCAAACGCCCACTTAATGTCTTCAACTTCAAGGATGGGCGCCAAAGGAACAGTCAATTTAAGCACTCATGGACCTTAAGGATATTAAATCTCTTTCTGAACTTGCAAGTCAAGAGCTACCACATTGATCTCATGAGTTAGACATCTAGGAAATCAAAAGCATTTACTTTTGTTTCATCAATCATCTAAGCTGGCAAAATTATCCAAAGTGAATTAATAATGTAAAACTTAACCTTGTTCATTGTGTCAGTGTATGCAGCTCGAACCTCAAGATACACCTCCTTGCCATGCTCCTTGAGAAAGGAAAGGATATACCTGTGAAAGTAATTGCAAAGATAACTTTAAATCCAGGAAATTCAAAGGTGAAAAGGAAATTGGAAAGAAGCTTTGAGGCTGATGATAATCAAAATTTTAAGTTAGGGACCTCTTAAGCTTGAAATCATTTAGGTGGAACACAATAACAATAAAAGGTATTACCCCCAAAACTCCAAGATAGCCATAAGTTTGGCTTTCGTTTGTACATAGATTTTAGATTTTTTCTAAGTTTTTGAAGAACCTGCTTTGTTTTTAAAAAAGAACCTGTTTGTTTAAGTTTTTTCCCAAACAGCTTTTTCAAGTTCTTCCAAAGAAATTATCTGTGAAGAATAACAATGAAGCACCTTCCCTTAAAGAATTCTTCTTCCACACACAAAACACTTATAGATTTTCAGTACTCACAAAACCACAACTCTTTAACCATGTCTTCTTTTTGCACATACTTTTTCTACAATTTCTTTTCCAAAGAAACGGCTAAAAAAACGAAAGAAGTTTCTCAAGTGCCAAAATTTTGATGTCATTGTTAGGTTAAAGTAAATTTGTTCGGAGATTCTCCAATGTCCTGACAGCTGACAAGGAAATAGTAGCTAAACAAAACAGAACTGCAGTCGGGAGCACGAAAAATGCTGCTATCTATGTTATGTTTAACACAAAAATTTATATCGAGGGTTCTTCTTGGATGCAGTCATTCAAGTAAATTGTAGAGAAGCAAATGTGTTGTGAACAAACAAATTAGCTAGTTTTCAGTAGTCAGGAAGAGAGTAATGAGCGATACAGTATATGATAGAAACCAGAAGAAGACGCAACTCACTTATATTTTAGAAGGACACTCTGCTGAAGGATCTGAATATTAGTTTTGGGTTTCCTTAAAGCGTATAGCTTCTGAACCATGAAATCAAACACCTAGATAGGAACGGGAAAGTGGATTAGATGAGACATGACTAAAATGCAGCAGGTGTAACAGTTAGGAAATGTGGAGAAACGTGCTTGAGAGACTAAGCCAGACAAGGAGGTTCACATAAACAGAGGGCAGCAACGAAAATTACACGCAGCTAAGCAGTGTTGTAAATAGCGAACGCTACGTCGCTAATAGCGAGTAGCGATGCGAGGCTGTGTCGCCATTTTGCTCTGTTGCGTTGCGATTTACAGAAAGCACTCGTCTTTGCCTGTGTAGCGAGAGGCGATACTGTAGCGTCGCTTTTTTTATTAAAAAAAAAAAAAAAAAAAAAAAAG